TATTGTTATGTCGGTACCTATGTATGTGTCTGTAAAAAGATACGATTGGAGCCGTGGCTTATTTATTGAATAAAGAATTGACTATAAGTGGTACGATTTTTCGAAATTAATTTTAATGATCGTCTCCAATTTATAGCTCAATGACACCTGTTTGGTTTGAAATATTTAGACAAAATACTATGTAAAACACATTTGCCGTTGTTAACATTAATAGGTACAACACGGCCATTAATTGATTTAAATTTATATTGCTTGGCGTATACTCGTTTTCATGTTAACAAAGGCGGTTAATTACTTTTGCCACTTTATATTATAAGTAGGTAGCTAACCCACGAGGTTTTTAATTTTTCTTCATTTTTCGTCGAAATATAAACATCGTACCAACTTAAAACTATACCTATTGTATGTATATAAAATATATAAACAACCATGAAGTGAGGAAACAGTTAAATATTAGATGTAATACAAAATCGTGTCACCTAATATTTTTATTACAATCTGATAAACACGTGACATGGGTTATTATATATATTTATCAGACGAATAAATCTGAATAATTTCGGATCAACGGTCTGAATCGTATTGTTTAACTTACGGGATTATTTTCGTTGTTTTTCGAGTGGTTCCGTGAAGTATTATAGGCGTATATTGTAAAACGTCGCGTGTAAATAATTTGTCCGGTCACACTCATACACATATAGATATACAATATAGGTATCGCTATATACAGGGTGTTTTCCACATTTTTCAGTTCCGACCTCTTGGGGTTCACTCTGTATATAAAATGGGGTATAGTATTACATACAGAATTATTCAAAATGATTCCTCCGATTTCAATTGCTTATATATTTTAAGTTTTTAAGTTTAGAGGAATATAACATGATATACATTAAATAAAAGAATAATATTTCAAATTTATTGTACCTATAGACGTTGTATGTGGCTTCCCAGGTCTAGGACTTTCATTCCATGCATATTTGCTGGGCAATTAACTTCGTAAATCTTTTAGTTCATCTACGTGGTTGATAGTACGTGGTACTCCCAAAAGGAGTAAAGTCACATAGCGTATAAGATCGGGTGTCCAGGTGCAGTCAGTGCAAAGCATCCTATGGTTCATTTTGAATAGTTCGGTATTATATTATGAAATCAATACCATTGGACGTCTCTGGGTCGCTGACCAAAACGTCGTTTAAAAAATACTAGGAAAACACTCGACTGCGTAGTAAATAACTGAATGAACCGAACGTTTCAGGCTTCAGCTATCCAAGTAGCGGGTTTAGTACTATATTTGCGACAAATTTTCTGACGATAATAATATCTTATTATATTATATTATGTACTTATGTATGAATGTGTATGTGATATAATCCAACGAGGCGATTGCATAGATGATGACAATAAAATGATGTCTGCTGCGAGCCTCGGAAATATACACAATTATCGTTATTATTGTAAACGGGCCGAACATAACATCAATTATAATATTGTTTGACGAAATAATTACGCATTATTGTGTATAATAACACTTATATTATATATATATATATATATATACATACATAAATTATACCTATCAAGTATAATATAGGCAGGTACTACTAATCGGCCGGGGAATTGTGTACATTTTAAATTCAATTAACCCATTCGTTGGACCGGCGTTGGTTTATGGGGGGTTCAAACGCGCGGATAAAACTCTGTAGGTATACAGAGTGGTATAATTCCTAGAACGATGGTTGACGGCCACCTCAAATATCTGCCGGAAGCATTATTAAAATATAAGTTGTATCTAAGTACATAATATATATATATGTATAATTGAGATTCTATATATATCATTTTATACAAGATGATCCATATAGTGTAAGTGTTTACAATCATTATTTCAAAAAGTTATACATTTGTTAAAAATATAATTTTTAAATAATTTGATGTTATTGAAAAATAATATTTTTGAAAAGTAAATTTTTTATTATAATAATTTTTTAGTTACATATTAACTTTTTCGAAAGACAACACGTTTTTAATTTCACATCCTAAAGCAGAATATTTTTGGGAGTACTCAATACATGGATATCGAATTTCAAACGAGTAGTTAATTTGTCATAACACTTATATGTATTTGAAGTTATGATGAGTGAATTAGTAGACCAACATTTTCGGGGTACCCTTATGTCACTCTACTCAGAACACCAATTTACTTATAATTCTTATTTAATTATGACAAATTAAATAGTTGGTTAAAATTCAATTTTATAGATAAAAATAAGCCAAAAAAAAACTTTCTATTATATATTGTATAATATATAAAAAAAATAATGCCACTAAAAATTGTAAAACTATTGTATAGTATGATGACATAATATTATGTAAAATATGTATTTCTAAAAATTTTAAAACTTCAAAATAAGTAGTGTATTGGTAGACACTTCAATTGAACATCTTGTATACTATATTGTACGATCGTCCGTTGATGATAATAATTTATTATGATACAATCGCTATAGTGGGAGGATTAAATGCTATATTATTATCTTTTGGAAATAAATGGCAATGGTACCTACTTTGACCAATAAAACCTCGGATATCATCCTTATCGACTATTGGATTCATTGTAAAGCGATCTCTACACTTAAGCCGGGACGAGGATTATGTGTTTCTCTCCTCCTCTCCTTCAATTATGACACCTTATCTACGACGACCGACGACTATATTATATACTTAATATACATTTCATTGATGTGGACATTCGTATTACGCATATTTTATAAACGTACTGCTGCAGCTAGAAGAAACGGTTGTATTCAAAACAACTACCAGACATTAATTTTAATCAAATGTGCCACCACACATATATTCATACATACATACATATATATACGTATAACATCGAGACACACAACTCGGGTTCATTATTTAGTCCTCTCAATTACCCGTTGCCCATCGTGTATAGCGACATCGCTCCACCAACGACACGGACCGGGAACCCATTGGCGATCGGAATCGTCGTGCGAAACACTTTGAATGAGTGTATAATAATATAGTCTCACTGGTCGTAACATGCGCCTGTATGTGGTATATAATATCTTTGAAAACATTATGTATAGTGCCCTAGCTACTACAACCATACTACCACTACCACTACGGCATTACTACAATTACTATAGGTACTACCCGTAGTCCCAACGCGGAAAACTGCTCAAGACACATTAATGAAATCTGTATTTTTTTTTTCTTAATCTCAATTTATTTCGGTGATATCCCGCTTGTGTTATATTATGATATTTGCAGGTTGAGGTTGGATTCGAATAAAAAAATATATGATGTAGGACAAAAAATAACGTTAAGTGCATGAAAACAAATAGCATAAATAGAAATAATAAATATATAATATTATATATTTATATATATGTATAAAAATCGTGTATAGTAGTTATGTAAATACTCTATTTACCTTTGAGGATCGACGACCTTTGATGGTTAAAAAAAAGGTCTATGTCTTAACGGTTTCTTTAGTTTTCTCCCCTGATAATATAATGTGCAGAGACCGTAAGATATTTGAAACGAAAAATCACACGTAGCAGGAATAAAAAGTGGACTGTTTATGTTTTAAAAGAGATGACGGGTGTATCGCGTATAATATATAACAGGAAATATAACAAAATAATTTTTTTTTTTTTTTTGAAATAATTTTCTTTGAATTTAGATTACGCATTATTGTAAGTACAACTCACATTTTAGGGTCGTTCAATTTTTTCTCAACTTCTATTTTTATATCTTTTCATTGATAATAGTATAATACTTATCGAGACAAACAAAAATGATGTAAATCGTATACAATGATTACATACTATTCAATTTAAAATACATTTACGTTTTTCGTTATTTCACTTGATTTGTTTATTCGATTTTATACTCATAATAGCTTGTAACAAAATAGAAGCATTATTTACTTACGGTTGAAAAAACGATGTTTAAATGATATACGTATATTATAATATAGTACGTCCAATTAAAATTAAAATTTAAAAAAGTATCACTAATATATTATTGTTTCTTATTTTTTTTTACTGTCTGTGTTCAATATTGATTTATAATTCTTTTATATTTTGTTTAAACATTATATAGAACGACTATTTATAGCACATTCATCGATCCTATATAATATTCACTGTTTGTTTTATTCGAAGTTAATCTCGCGAGAGTAAGACTTAAAATGCTTATGGACACCTTATATTTTGTCCTACTTCGCGACATATATAGGTGGTACTTATTATTATCGTCTGTACTGTAGAAGTTAAAAGTTTAAAAATGGTTGTATATGTGCAGCTGCAGTTAATATTATATTGGTAATCGTGAGTTAGTTCATGTATGCATACTTGCTGTAAAAGGGACGATTTCGATATAGTCTATTCAATTATTAATTAAAAAAAAAAAAAAAAAACCCAAAGAAAATTGTTTGATATAGTTTTTTAATTAAAATTCATCAATCACACGCACAATGAACTTGCCGATAATGCTGTCGCCGCCACTGCCGTCGTAACAGAGCTGCTGTTGTTGTATATGCGTATCCGTATTATAAGTGTGTGCGTGTATTAGTTTTTTAGAGAGCTATTCAAGGGCACGGGATCAGTTTATCGAACCGTTTCTTCCCATCACTTTCTCACTCACTCTCTCTCTCTCTCTCTCTCTCTCTCTCTTTCTCTCTCTCTCTCTCTCTCTCTGTCACCTTATAATATTCTCTTTCTATATCTCCTTCAAGTGGCACGTATTAATATTTCACGGTCCCGGGAAAATGTGGGTTGGCGTTTCGTATATTATTACTATTATATACTCACATCGAACGACTATGTGTTATAAATAGATAGGTATATAGTATATACCTAAACCTAACCGCTGCTGCTGGTATATAATATAATATAGTTGCGTGGAAAATACATACCATCACGGCGGCGAAAACGACGATATAGCCGATAATATATGTGATAATATATGTGTTGGGCATGTGTACAGTGTACAGTGAACATGTGATGAATATTGTTACAAAAACAGTGAACTTCATTAGATCGCACGGATTAAAACATAGACAATTTATAGAATTTTTAAATGAAATTGAATCGGAACATAAAGATGTTTTGTATCATAACCAGGTTAGGTGGTTAAGTCGAGGAAAAGTATTAAAACGTTTTTTTGACCTTCGGCAGGAAATTCAAATATTTATGATAGAAAAAAATAAACCAGTAGAAGAATTTGAAAACGAACAATGGATGTACGATCTTGCTTTCTTAACTGATATTTCTGCTCATTTAAATGAATTAAATCTTAAACTTCAAAAACAATCAAAAACTATTTTCGAGCTTATAAGTGATGTAAAATCGTTTGAAATAAAATTACAACTTTTTAAAAACCAAATATTAAAGCAAAATTTGTTACATTTTAAAACGTGTCAAGAAATTAAACAAAATTCTTTAATTGACGTTCCGACAAATCATTTTGTGAGTATGTTGGAACAATTATCAAAAGAATTTGAAAACCGTTTCCAAGATTTCAAATCACATATGACTTCATTTCGGCTGATTGAAAATCCATTTCTGTCTGATGAAAATAATGTTCATGAAACTGTTCAACTTGAACTTATTGATTTAAAAACAAATAATCATTTGAAAGATTTATATAAAGATATCACAGATAAAAATACAGATTTAATACATTTTTATAAGACTCTTACTGATGATTTTCCAAAAATTAAAGAATTATCAATGCGTATATTTACATTATTTGGTTCTACTTATATTTGCGAACAAACGTTTTCACGCATGAATTACGTGAAATGTTCAGAAAGATCTCGTTTGACTGATGAACACTTACACTCCTTATTAAGAATTGGCGTTACACATTTCACTCCAAATATTGAAAGATTTGTTAAAGAAAAACAAGCCCAAATTTCACACTAATTTATTGCTATTTATATTCTAAAATGTATTATATACTTAAATTATTTAATTATTTATTTATTTGTAGGTAGCATGTTTTACATTTACACCAATTTATTTCTATTAATATTCTAAAATCCAATGAATTTTTTTTTATATAAAAATTAAAAATTGTAAAATATTTTATATTCTTAAAAACTTAATAAAATACATTTTTTTACACCTATATAAATTTTTAATTTTTATAAAATGGTCACGGGCCGGTTGGAACACCTTCGCGGGCCGGATGCCGTACACTGTACACTATATTATATACCTACATAATACCTGCGAACGTTTCGTATAATATAAGCACATTATTACTATTATTATTATTATTATCATCATCGTCATCATCGTCATCATTATTGTTGTTGTTACGTATTATAGTGGGGATCCTCGTGGATTTTCTTCAATGCATATAGCTCTAGAAAGAATTTTTTCTTTTAGTTTTTGAAGATGACGAGCGTTGTATACCGACGCGTGCAGCGTCGGTACATGCGTGTAATATTTCGCCTAAGAAGAATAGTACGTGAACGTAATAATAATATAATAGTAATAATAATAACTAATAATAATCATCATAATGGCGTGAGCCGTAATAATGAAATAGCTTAGCGCCTCGATCGGTCGGCAACGGTGCACATAGTGTTTGAATATTACCCTTTTTTCTTTTTATATACGTAATATACTCACATACCTGTGTATTACACCTATATATTACTATTTTAATATTATGTGTTTTGTTTGTGTATGATATTATGAGGCCACGTGTCGAATCCGTTGTTCTTCGTGCCCGTGTAAGACATAATATTATTATAGTAGGTATAGTATGTGTATTGTACACAACCACCGTCTTATTAATCCGATGTTGTCTACTTGCCTATTATACGACTATGACGACGATGGCGATGACTACGACGGTAATAATGCGACGCGCGCGTGTAACCTCCGTCAAACGAGCCGAATCAAACACACGTATACACACACACACACTTTATGTTTTATTTGTTATTACTTATTATTATTATTTTTTTTTCTTGATTAATGAACGTCTTGTAGTATACCTACGCCTAAACGAACCTGTAAAATAAATATAAAATAATAATAAATAAATAATTATTATAATGGTCACTATAGATAGGAATGATGACGATGACACGCGTTCGTCTCACCGATGTAGTCTGTTGCAGCAGAGTATTTTTTTAATAATAAATAATAATATAATATAATAGGCATCATTATAATATTCTCGGGAGCTGATGGTATTTTGCACCTGCAGTTTAAGTAGTACCTAAGTACTTGCAATTTGCGCCACATCTATAAATATTAATTTTGGTAATCTGAGCCAAGACGGAAAACGAAATAGCATGATATTATGTATAATCCCTGCCACACTTTCAATTTCAGTTGTTGGAATTTACCTGATTAATTTACCTAGCTCACATTATCCATAGTCCATAACTGCACGCTTATTTAAATCACACGAACTATTAATAACATAGGTAATAATATGAACAACTAGATAATGAATAATCATATATCTGCTTTTTACATATTCTTCAATTATTATTACCTAACTGAAATATTACTAATTTATATATATTATAAAGTACCTATAAGTATAGGACTACATACAAAATTACAATAAACTTACGTTTTTTATATACCTGGATTTTAATAATTTTCTTGAAATGTATCTGTTAACATGAACTAGATTGATGAATGATTTATAATAATAAATAAAAAAGAAAATTATTATTAAATATTTTAAGGTCGCATGCTAATCACAATTTTGTAAAGTGATACGAATGGCTCAAATTACAATTATTTTTGGTACAAGATTCCGGAGATTGCATAAGCCTTTTTTATCTAGTTTTGTGTGGCCGTAAATTTTGATTGTATCAAAATCAATTTTTAGATGTGGCTCAAATAACATTCATGCACCTACATTATCAACTATAATCGAAAAACGAAATTCTTTCTGATAAAAATTAAACTTTGTATATTATGTACGTATAAGCGTTTAGCTTACCTATATAATATATAAATATATTAATATTATTATTTTATGTGCTTTGGGGAAAACAACAGGGGAACCATGAGGCCAAACGCAGACTATTAGGAGCTGAGGGTGGACCCGTAAAAACGTCATGCGCGTTATACATATATTATGTTTTTTTTGAAACAAATTTGTTTTTAATTATGCGCGACGCCAAAGTAGTATACGCCGGGGGCAGTGGTATATATATATAGTGGCGTCGGCGATAATTGCTCGCCCGTAAACGTAAAAAACTGCTTTGGGTTTGTCATCGGACGGCGGCAGTAAACGCCATCATCGTCGTCGTCGCACACGTTATATAATGTATGCCCAGGCACGTGGACAACTGTGTACCACACGCACACCACGCATACGAGTAAAACAATGGTCGGATGTCATCCACACGTAAAACGTAATCAAAAAAAAAAAATGTACATATATATATATATATTAAAAAAATACAGGAGCACAAAATAAATATAAAAACATTTTTAATTTTTTTCTCGGACGCGCATTAATATAATATACTATATTGCGTGGCATAAAATTCTTCCGGTTGACGCTGTGCATAGCGTCGCGGCCGAGCAGACGTCTACGGACATGTAGGTAAGAGGTGCCGGTGGAATTTTAATAACAATAATAATAATATAACTGCTGCAGTGGTGACGACCACCCGCCGGGGCCGCTTAGCGATGTACGTGAAATAATTATTTTTCGTAAGGGTGGTGGCACGGGGATGTGCGAGGTGTGATGACGGTTCAGTGCCCAAGTATACACCTATAGGTGTGTGGGTGTGCACTTAGATAGAGGCCCGAGTCATATCATTATAACATTATAATATACGCATCGTCCGCTAAACGGGAACGAATTACACGGGTTTATGGGGTTGTTTAAAAGAGTTGCGTTAGGTTAGGTTGACTAAACGTCATTATAATAATATACCCCCTATAGCTTGGACTAGATACAAACGTCAGGGACCGGGGAGATTGACCCAGGTGGCACTTTTTAAAAAAGGCATATTTTGTGTTTATTTAATAATATTGTTGTACTTATATAATAATAATAATAAAGTGTAAAATAATTCTTATTGCACCCTCGCTATAAGATCCAAGCCTTTTTATAATTACTATAAACCAAAGTTTACTGATTTGAACATCATATTATTTTATATTCAATCATTTGTTTCTAAGTTATCTATTGATTGCTTTGAGTACTTATTGCTTTTTCAGCAATATAAGTCGTTGATTCGTCATTCGGATTTTTATTTTCTAGGAAATATGTTATAGCTAAATATCTATCTTTATCATATATTTTTTATTCAATTTGTATTTTGCGGATTAACCAAGGAATTAGCTTATCCGTGGTCGCCGCGTCATCGCCACCCTATTTCGAGGATAATCTAGAGTTAACTGTAATATAATATATTAGGCATTATTGCCTTTTAAAAAAACAGAACTTTTTATGTTGAATACATAATAAACGTAGGTACGCATAATGTACTCGTGCGTGCATACATAGAGTTACGAGTGTCACTCTATGGTTGTGGGTAGGTATCTGATATATACTATATATGCCGAAATGGCTGGAGTATATTTTCTAACTCCATTACACCCCTCTCATCACATCACTTTGAATCAGCATAATATCCTCGTGGGACTACCTGTAAAATAATACATTTTATACACATATATTATGGGTACACATGGGGTATGTAATGTATTATTATTATTTTTTTTTTTTTGTTACGACTCGGCCATGCGACACGTTACAGATTTTATTTGCTATTCGTTAGCCCCTGCAGGACTATTTTCGTTTCGACACCGTTCTCTACTCTGCTGAAATGCCATTGTAAATGTGTACCTGCATATATAAAAAAAGCGCCTTGGTTGATTTAATTCGTTAAACATTTTTAACACTGATTAGCTCTCAGCAGTAGTTTAGTCAGCACAGTTTACCTCTCGTAACCCAATTACTTTATTTCCTACGGTTTAATTTGCCAATTTAACTGTGGAACCCTATAAGACGTACACGTCTATACATAGGAGGTAATTATAATTTTTATACTTAGCAACAAACGATTTTATTATTATAACTATATACAGTGTCATTAGTACCTACAACAAAGTTTTTTTTATTATCTTTAACTGAGAGACACTCGTAAAGACGTATAATTATTATTTTGCATTCGGTGATGCAGAAAACATGTTATTGTTATGAGAGATTCTTATTTCATAGGTACATATTTTGTTATCAGGTGTTTTTAGTAGCTTAACTTCATAACAATATTAATAAAAGTACGACTACCTACTCTGTTTAAAATAAAATACCCTAAAAAATAAGTTCTAAACTATTTCTACTAATCTTCCCTTTAATATTATATAATTTATTTTATATCATGTAAAACTATTATCGTTTTCCTGGCGTAGAAGATACATACTAACAGACTATCTCCATTTTTTATTTAGAATTTGAAAAACAATTTATTTTACGTTACATTACTACGTGTTAGTTTTTTGCTATTTATAAAAAAATTATAAAAATACATTTAAAACTAAATTTTTTAAATAAGTCAGAAAAGGTTTAGTTTTAAAGATTTTTAACTTTAACATTGACCACTAATACTATAGTATTTACTGTTCTAAAAAATATAAAAAAAACGAGATGATAATAACTTTATATAATTTTAACTAATTTCGTAGGCATTATATTACTTTAAAAAAAACATTAAGTCAAGTTTCTTAGCAAAGTTGTTAGTATTAACGTTTTTGTATATACAACAATATGTGTGTATAACAAATTTAAATGCGTTGACTCTGCATGCATAAAATAACATGGCCATTTGCAGTATTGTATATAATAAAATATTATTCAGAATTTATTTCATCAGAATACACGTCAAGTCTATATGAAACATCGTGTAATATAATACGCATTTCGCGTA